CCCGGAGCGGCGCCGCAGGGGCCCGCCTTTGGTCAGCGGTCGCAATGCTGTCGTGCTGCCGGGACTTGGTCTAAATGAAACTCCGACCCAGGTGTGCAGTGGGTCGCTAGTAAGGAATTACCTACGGAAAGGGGTTTTGTAGAGTAGTAAATTAAAGTAGAGGGAACAGTCAGGGGCCCTGAACCTAGGGGTTAGGTGATTTATACAAACCTGTCCTATTGCAGCTGGTGTTTGAGCAGCGTTTTAGCCTGGGAAAAGCCGATTAGAACATAAAACGAGGGGGTGAGAGGTGTCTGGCAGTGAGTGAAGTTCCTGGCTGCGAGGAAGGAGTTATCGTCCCTTCGGCCTCCACGGGTTACGCAGTGGCCTTCTCCTTAAGTGTTGCTATTTAAATACCTCTGGCAGCTCGGTTCTGTTGGGGCTGTTTGCTGTCTCACAGTAAGCACTGCCTTGAGCTGTGCAAGCTGGCGACAGATGGGCCCTTACACCCTCTCCTTGCTTTCCAGGTCTGTAGTGCGCGTGGCTTCTGGGATGGATGGGATGGGCTTAGAGGAAGTAAAGCTCATTGCTCCCTCCTTTCCCTGGAGAGGCATCACGGATGCCTGGAAAGGCAAACACAGGGAATAATACTTACCAAAACCTCTTTCAGTAAGGTTTTGGTTGCAAATCTTCTCTAATTTGTCTCTTCTCCGATATGTTTATCAGATGTGGTTTTAGCTTGTTTGGTGTTCCCTTGCCTTATACAGGGCTTAGATGGATTTACAAAATTACTGTTTAGCATTAGATATATTTGTTAGAAAATAGTTGGAAAAAACTTCATTGTTGCTGGCTTAGAACACGAGTATTCTTTCTACAATTAAACATCTAATAGGCACAAATCAGATATTAGCCTGGCCACAAGTACTCTTAGGTGCATTTAAAGAATGAGTGAGATGTTGGGGCGAGCTAGTTTTGGGAAAAAAAGAAAAGGGCATTTAAAATCGGCTCCCAGACTTCTCTGCATCGTTAAGGTACTTAATTTAGTGCAGCTTCATAGTTTGTGATGGACTGTGATTTAACACGTACCTGCTGATTGGTACTTCATTTTAACAAAAAAGAAGAGTATGGTCCTGTGGGAGAATTCTTTCAGGTTTCTATACATGTCCTTGCATAGTCTCTGGCATTGGAAAGACAAAGTCTGATACAAACAAAAAAGAAGTGAACTCAGGTTTTGGCAAAGGAGAGAAAAGGGAAAAAAAAAAAAAAGAACCCTAACCACAATGAGGAAGCGTGATGCTGCTGCAATGTGATTTTGCTGGATTGAGCTACCATAAAATAGCAGCAAACCCCAGGAAGATAGAATGTGATTCAGCTCACAGGTATCTGGGCGACAACCAGAACTTGTCTGTTTTCACTGGAGAAACGTACTGTTGCTCAGTCGGAAATGAAGTCAACCTGTCTGCCTTTCCGTATCCTCCATATTGCCAGCTGACGTTGACACATCTTTCTGTTCTGGTTTTTTTTTTTTGCAGGGGGCTTTTTCTCCACCATCTTTTCCAGTTTGTTTGGGACTAGAGAGATGAGGATTCTCATCCTGGGGCTGGACGGAGCAGGAAAAACAACCATTCTCTACAGGTTACAAGTTGGAGAAGTTGTTACCACCATTCCGAGTAAGTGATGGGTCCCTTAGTGAAAGTAGCCACTTTGCCTGTAGCTCCAGCGCGTAAGCGTTGTCAGCTGCACTCCCCACGCGCTTCCTGCGTAACCAAAAGGCCCTTACGTCGTGGGAGCCGTTGTACTGAAGAACTTTCTTGCATAACAGTGTTAGAGGTGCTATAGAAGTACTACATAAGGGAATGTTCTGTGCTGCCCTGCTGCCTGCAAAAAGTATTTGACCGTAAGAGAGTTGAGCTGGCAGGCTTTTCTTGAGAGGTGAATGCCAAGTATGCTGACAATGTCAAGATGCTGCGTAAATGGGAACTGTTGGCTATATCAGTCTTTTGTCTCCAAATGGAACAATAACGCGAATTCCAGAGGTCATTATTACTGTACAAAAAATATTTTACATAGGAGGGTGTCAGTGAAACGTACCTATTTAATTTCTTTTTTTTTGACAAGGGTCTTTAGTGTGTTAGAGAAACACTTCTGTTTAACACAGGGAAGAAGAATTGGATGGTTTAACTTTAGGCTACATAGGAGAGAACTCACTGTGAGATCTCATGGAAGGAGACGATGCTTATTTAAAACAACGTAACTGATTTCTCCAACTCTCTTAGCATGCATGCAGCCATACCCCCCTGTTACCAAAACCCAGACGCGTGCGCCGAAGCCGTCTGGCCAGGATCACTCTGTGCAACGTGAAGGACGAGGGATGCTTGGCTTTTGAGTTCCTGCCGCATCTCTCGGGTTCCTCCTGAACGGCCACGATAAACTGCCTTTGGCCAGGTCTTTCTTACCTTTTAGAGGCCAGCAGTTTACTACGCCGTAATCCTTTTGCCCTAGGGTTTTGCTTATTTCAGCCTCCATAAATTTTAGGCAGCCTGCATCCATCATTCACTTCCCTGTGTCTTGTTTCTCTGGGCTGGCAGGCAAAGGAACGCTGTTATGTGACTGATGCGCTGTAACCTCACTGCCATCTCCCAGGTACCACAGTGTCAAGTCTTCTGCTGAGGAGTTGGTTCTGCTGCGGTCTTAAGAGAGTGCAGATCTGGTGTTGACACGAAGGACTCGTTCCTCAGCGTTGTGTTGCTGTCATTCGTGTACTTGGTTATCAAAACAGGCCATTCCTTTAGCCCTTGCTCTGCCTCTCTTGGTGATTTCAGGCACATTTCTGTTCATTTTCAACAGCCTTAGTGCTTGCTACGAACCTCTACTATATGTTTACAATGTGTTTTTATCGTTCAAAGAAAAAAAAATTACCGCACTGTTTTGAGCCGTAAATGTTTGTTGGGGTAACTTTGCAAAGGGCATGAGCTTCATTATGTGGTTACTGAGGATTTTCAGGCCTGAGAGTTTTAAACTGTAACATGCTGTAACGTTCTTCAGAACAACAAAGATAAATCACCAACAGTGAAATTGTTTAACTTCGTTTCAGCCATTGGCTTCAATGTTGAGACAGTGACATACAAGAACCTGAAATTTCAAGTTTGGGACTTGGGAGGACAGACAAGCATAAGGTAACAAACCGATCTCTTAAAATGAAAAGCTAGAAATAAATTTCTCTAGAAAGCGCTAAGTTCTTGGACTTCTCATAGCCGGCACTTCTGAAAGTTGGTTAAGTTTTAGAAACAGCCCGTTGTCAGGAGAGCACTTTGATCCAACAGACTTCAGTGGGTAAAACCTGCTTTGGACTGCAGGTTGGAAAGAAACAAGTGAATGTTTTCATCTGCATACAGTCTTGCTTTGAAAAACTAGTTTAGTTGTGTAGTAGGCAATTGAGAAAGAAGGGAGCGAGTGATACAAACCCAAGAAGATACTTAGATGTTCTTAAGAATGCAAAACTAGGAGGCTGAATGTAGGCATAGGCGATCATTCTTTTAGCGAGCTTTACAAGAGGTGTAACCAGTCATGATATGCAGAACCGTAATGATCTTTTCAGTACCCCTGTATGAGCTTTTCATGATTCCTTTTTGAACGCTAGGGAGTAAGGTGCAGCGTAGTTAGTTAATAAGTAAGGTGCAGGTTCCTTCCCTTTTTAGCTTCAGTAAGGTAATTCTGAAAAAGGTGGTTTGTTTTGATCCTCGTTAATTACTTGCCTGTATGAATTAGTCATTTAAGATTTCTCTGTTTATCCTTCTTTGGTGGCCATAATGATAATGGTGTGTGTTTAAATTTTCTTTGCTTCCCTGTCCTTCAGTTATGGCCCTGATGTCCTGCAGGCTGATTCCCAAATAAATCTGTCCCCAGCATTGCTGTCTTCCCCTCTTTTTAAGCTGCCTTTTCCCCGCCCCCCCCCTCTCTCTGCTCTTGAGAGTGTTTGTGCTGTCTGTTCCTTTTGGTAGCCTCTTGAAGATATCTTCTGCTTCCTTCCTGGGGCCTTTCACCCCAGAGACAGTTTTGACTTCCTCTGGGTAATCTGCTTTTCATTATCTGGCTAAAAAGCACTGCTAAACGTGCAAATTATGTGACTGGAACTTCTCTTTCTTCTGCAGGCCATACTGGCGCTGTTACTATTCCAATACCGATGCAGTCATTTATGTGGTGGACAGCTGTGATCGAGACAGAATTGGCACTTCAAAATCAGAGCTCGTTGCTATGTTGGAGGTAAGAAAACAAGGATGACAAACCGGTTAGCAGAACAGAAATTGAGAAACAAAAACCTTCCTTTGGAGTGAAATTTGATTCAGTGAATCGAGCGAAGCTCAACTTCACTTCAGCCCTCACAACATTTTGACTGAAAAGCGCTGAATACGCTGCAGGTATTTCACGGTTTTGTGCAGCGAGCGCTGCCTGGGCAGCCAGCTGGTGACACATAGCCCTTTGGTCACGGGAAAACTCATCTGTCTGCAAGGACAGCTGTGCAGTACTTCAGTGGTGGCAAAATTAGGCCCTTGAAGGATTAACAATAATTAGTATCCTAATATGTTTTGAAGAACATTTGTAGAACAGGGTAATAGGAGTAAGATGACGAGTTGAGCAAAACTTTGGTGTTTTCCCCCATTCCTGCAAACTCTTTGATATGCCTCGTTAAATCCAACTACCAGCTTGTTTCATAATGTAACAGGCATAACTGGCCGTGTTTTGGAATTGCTCCCATGTGGGATCATGCTGGGATTGAAAGTAAATGGCGTTCTTTCACTGAAGAATTTCCTAAAGAACAAAAATCAGCAAACTGAAAATCATGATGAGAGCTGCTGAAGTTTCTTTTCATTCTATGGGTTTTTGTCTGTTTAAATAAATTCAGTAAAAGCCTCTGCAACGACTTGCATGATTCTCCTTTTTTTTTTTTTTTTTTTTTTTTGGGAAGAAAAAAAAAGGAGCTGAAGAAAGCCATTTTGGTGGTGTTTGCAAATAAGCAGGACATGGAACAGGCCATGACTCCCACAGAAATGGCAAACGCACTTGGCTTACCAGCTTTGAAGGACCGAAAATGGCAGATATTCAAAACCTCTGCAACTAAAGGCACGGGGCTTGATGAAGCAATGGAATGGTGAGTAACCATCTCATTATGCTCACTTCATTAGAAAAAAAATTTTTTTTTTAAGACTGGATCTGTGGAAAGTCCATCTGGCCCAAAAGACAAAGGTCCACATCAGGAGAAAGCATGGCTTCCTCATGAAAGTATTTCAACATTGTTGAAGTGACTGTTCAGTAAAGTGACTTAACCTTTTTCCTAGGTTGGTGGAGGCCTTGAAGAGCAGGCAGTGACGGAGCTGACCATGGTAAAGAAGTTTCAGCTCTATCCACCATCCCTCTTTCTGCAGTCAAGTGTGTTCAGGCCACCAGTACTTGTAAATAGGACAGATCTGAGTTTTGACTCCTGCAACGTGGATGCCTCTCTTGAATTGTAAAACTGAACCATGTGAACGTCTGTGTACATTACGATATTCCATTTCTTTCCTTCTGTTTAAAGGATGTACGTTTATTTGTATGAAAGTCGTACTGGCTAGGAAAGGGTTTTTTTGTTGCCCCCATCTCCCCCTGTGGTGGTTTAAAGTTTGAACGGCTACTATATTTGTGTAATTAAAACACTAATAAAATTTGGAACTGTCAGCCGTACTCATAGGCGCCGTGCTTGCTTACAGAAACAAGGCCAGCTTCTGCCAGTTCTAACAGCCACGTAAGCTGGACGTTGTGAGGGTGATGTTACACCTCACAGTTCTTCAGTGGAGATGGATAGGATGTCACAGGAAAGCACAGCTACAGCGATGAATGCTGTACCTCCAGCTGCTAACAGGGCATTGGTCTCCTGAAATGAAAATAAATACCTTCAACAGCCACCTACTGCCCTGTAATTTGGGATTTCACTTCCCAGGGCCTGAGCTCTTATTCCCCTACCTTCAGCCAAGCCAGAAAGGGCAGTTAAGTTGCTTGGTACAGCTGCAGAAACTGGAAGACAAATCCAAGGTGGGAGGCAGGTGGTTTTCTCTCCAGGAGCTAGGATGTTCACAGGCATGAACACAGTCATCATGTAATCCATCTTTTAAAAATGAGGTAAAATTTAATACAAAAAAATCATGGTGGTTGTCCATTCAACTGTACATGCTCTGGTAAATATACAGGTTTGGAAAAAAATTGAGAATCTTTTATTTAAGATCCTAGATGAAAAAGAGGACATGAAAAAATACGAATAAATACAATTAAAATAGGATATTTTTTTTTTTAAAACAGTAACTGGTTCTTTAGCTTGACATTAGTTTTTATAAATAAATCCTCCGGGAAGAAAAAACAGTTTTCATTCCACCATTGCTAAATCTTTCAGTGCGTGACTTCGAGGTCTCTTAGCCTTGTAGTTCGGGCGCAGGAGTTCTATTTTTCTCTTCCTGGTTTCCTCTTTATTCTTGTGTCGCTTCAGCTTCCTCCTTGCAGCAATTTCGGGGTTTGCTACAGCCTAGTGAAAAATGTTTGTTTGTTTGTTTAGTTACAACTGACAACCGTCCCTGTAACCACCAGGTACTTCCCAAGAAACTGGTGACTGGCAGGACAATGCGTGGGTTTTTCTTAGGCTCCTCACCGCTTGAGGGTGTTCTGGCTGCTCTGCCCAGGTTTACCTCTGCTCTTCCGGTAAGCGGGAGAGCACGGGGTCACAGCAGCCTGAACCTGCCCACGAGGCTGATCTGCACAGCTGCTTGTGACGGTTCAGAAATGAAACGGTGAAACTGCCCCAATTCAGGATGAAGTTCTTCCTCAAACTCACCTTCCTGGTCACCTCTCAGAGAAACCCTATTTCTTTTTTCCAGAATAGAAAGCAGAATCTTACCTGCAAGGCCCTCTGCTTTTTCCTCATCGCTCTTTTCTGGTTAGCCTGTTTCTGCACAGAAGAAAAGGCAAGCGAGAAAGCCTCCAGTCCAACTAACTTCTTGAGCAGTTCTATGATTTCTTGTGAAAGGTTCTTCAGTGTTGGATCTAATAAAAACAAAATTAGCTTGCTTAATCTTTTCAGCATGTGGAATGAAGGCCAAAAGCCCAGTAAGGATTTCTCCTTCACTAAAGGACAACCGTACTGATTCGTCTTGCCCAATACACTGGAGAGACCAGAGCAACGGCGCTTGTGAAATCTGCTGGTTCTTCACCAGCTTTCTCAAAGGACCACAAGCAGTGCGTCACAGAGGCAAAAGATGTTTTCTGAAGGGTAATGGCTTCCCAGTGGTCATTACGAGTGGCTTGCTGTATGTAGCCACCAGGGCTATTTTGGAATAGCCTTTGACGGAAATAGAGGTGATTCCAGCCTTGTTGGTCAGCATCTCTGTCCAGTACACACAATAAGGCCTGGCTTAATGGTTAGGACCACTAGTTAGTTACAACATATTAGCAACTACAGTCACTGAAAAAAAGACACTAGGAAAAAAAGGCTACAAAGAGATGCCAAAGGAAAACTGAGAGGGCAAATGTTTCCCTCAGTCTTCCAACAGATCCCTCTTCCAAGTGCTCGTACAGCCTCTAGAGAAGCTTGCGTAAGCTGCTTGCCTCCACAACATCCTTCAGTGACAAGTTCCCTGGGTCTACACCCCCTATCACGTGAAAAACCATCGCTGCAGTTACTCTGAAAAATCATTTGAAGGCCCCTGGTTCTTTTGCTGGCAGAGAAAGCAACAAGTCGACCTTTATCCATGCATGATACTGTCAACCTCTACCATATCTTTTCCAAGTCTCTTACTTGCTTAGCTAAAAAAACCCCCGAAATAAATGGTAGCCCAGGCAGCTATTCCTTACCTAGGACACTGTCACTGCCCTCCTCCAAGTTTTTTCAGGTCTTTTGTATCCTTTCTGAGGTGTGGGGACCCAGTGCTGCACACTGAATTTTCATGGCATATACAAACCACAGCTTTAGAGTAATACAACTCTTTTTTTTTGGTTTGTTGTCTGTTCTTTTCCTAACATGGGATTTTGCTTGACTTAACACACTTTCATGGACTATTGAAACACCGGCGTGCCTTGTTCCTAAGCTGCGAGTCTCGTGTGTTAAATGGGAAGTTGGTTTGTCTCTCCCCCCACCAGGCACAACTTCTTAAGATCTTTTAAACAAACATGGATCTCCAAGGAGAAACAAGTCTTGTTGCTCAGGGAGTATCGAGCAGGACAGAGTGACCTGGACTCATTCAGGAGGACAGGGAAGTTCTGTGCAGAGTTTAACAGGCTGTGGTCCTGTAGCAGACAGCTCTCCCCCTGCCTGCAAAGGTTACTTTCTTTCCGTCGCTGTGCACACATGGCACACATTGAACGTCATTTTCTCTATTTCAGAAGGAGGAGCTTGGGGAAAACATCAACCAACCACCAAACTGGCAATTCCAACTTGTACAGTCCCTTGCTCTACAGTAACACAAGCTGCCATAAAACACCCCCCGTTTTACATTAACACTGAAACACACTTTTTAACTATAGGGCATGGATCTTCATGCCCCTAAGCCTCACAGCAGATCTAACACGGCAATTCAAAAAGAACCACCCTTAGCAACAGCCTTGCTCTGGCTTCCTTACCACACACACACTGTTCCTCTCAGCAAGGATTCCGTGAGTCTTGCCACCATGAGTCCAGCCTTGACTGATTACACCACTTTCACCACTACACCACATGCTCAAGCTTTACCCACTTGCCTGTAGGAGCCTGCCTAACTTGAGTCCAGTCTTTTTTCTTTGTCAACATGTAGATTTTTGTTCCAGCTGTCAAACGCTCTCCTCCTTTGCTGGTATTTTGGTTGGACTGCAAGTAGGTGAAATTCACTGATTCACCTATGCCTCTGCAGCCAAAAGGAATGACTGGAGGTGGTTGTGCCGAGGCACAGCTCTGACACACTTGCCTCTTTGCTGGTCTGTGTGAGAGAAATCACTTACCTTGCTCTGCATAAGTGCTGTTCAGCTCCCTGTACAGAGGGGTGAGAACTGTTGGAAGGTACGGCTTGATCCTGTCTTTCCCCAGATCCACTGAGATTGCTCCCAGGAACTTAAAGATGCAGCTTCTCTGCAAATGAGTGTGTGAGACATGAAGTAAGGAAGGTTGGAAGGGAGCTGCCCAACTGAACTGCTGCAAGAGCCCTGTGGTGAGGCAGTTTCAGACACCCTTACTGCTGTTACAAGGTCTTAGGGCAGCCAAGTACAGCCTTTAGATGAGACACAACCCCACGGGATCTGTAGACATGTGAGCTGTGACTTCACTCAGTTGGCAGCTGTTAGCACTTTGAACAACAGACTTGTTCTTGCCATCCTGTACCGAGGCAGCTGAAGACACAAAAGCTCAACCCTCTAACTCCACCATGGGGAACCACAGTGCTTTTCCCAACGCTCTTGCACACCCTCCCCTTCTAGCAAGTAACTCCACACTGCCGTTCCCCTGCCTGCATAAACCCAGTACTCTTGGGCTCTGTCCCCTTCGGCTTGGTGCCTTTGGCCTTCCCACCCTTCCACTGCCCCACACGAGGGCTGGAAGCAAGGGCAAGGAGAACCAGACTGGCACAAGCCTTTCCTGAGAATCCCAAACTGGAACGCTTCTTGTTTCCTTGGCACCTCCTAATCCTTGCTTCAGCACCAGCTCCCAGCACCCTCTACAGCTGGTCCCCTGGAAGCAAAGAGCCACAGCAACAGTCTCCTGTGCCTACCATGTCACAAGCAGCTGGTCTAACCCTGTTCTTACCTTTAAAGGGACCTTAGGGGAATACGCTGCTTCTCGCTTTGCCATGAGAGCGAGCTTCTTCATTAACCATAGCAATGTGGCTGGCCGGCCTTTCTCTTCTGTGTCCTCTGTCTTCCCCTCTCCTTGAGCAGAAATGCCTTTCTCTTCCTCATCTTCTGACGCCTCCTGCTCTTCTGCCTCACAGCCGACTTCTCCTTTGGCCTCGTTACCTTCTTCGGAGGCAGGGGCTAGCAAGTAAACAACTTTTGCCACAAAAAGCAAATTCTTTATAACCTGCGGTGTAAGAAAAGAGCAGTTGGTCACTGGGGGTTCCCCCAGTGTCAGCACCGGCAGTGCCCAGGGTATGTGAGAGCCAAGGCTAGATCTGAAAGAGGAACTGGCCAACCCAGGAGGCTGTAACGGGTTCACCACCTGCGTTTTGCTCCTAACAGGAAGGCCCACCTCAATATCCTCTTGCAGTCTGGGAGAGCCCTTTCCCCATGAGATACCATGCCTTTTGGGCTCCAGCACCCCCTGAGGCAGGGCTGCTCCTTTTTGTCTTCCCCACCTCTAGAAACACCCTTTTTCCACACGGAAATCTCTGGCCACTGTGGAATTCACAGTGGAGTCAAACCTTCAAGCAACAGAAGACACTTGCACTAAATGCTCCCAGTGAACAGCCAAGGCTCCAGCGCAGCTGCAGGGAACCAGCACCAGAGATCTGGCTGCCCACTCCAGAATCTGGCTGCCCAGCCTGCTCCAGTCTGGGCTGCAGAGACAGACTCCCTGATGGAGGGCTGGACAGAAGGGAACCCTGTCCTGCCCTGCATGGTGCCTCCCCTTTCTGTCCCTGCCACCCCTCAGCCCTTCCAGCAGGCTGACACCACAAGGGGGATTTTTCTGGACCCCTCTGAGACATGAACCTGCTCAGATGCCCTCAGCACACAGCTGCTGGCCCTGTGCTGTATATTTGCTCTGAGCCACCACCAGCCAGCAACGCTGCTGTCCTGACTGGGATGTACACTCCCTCACGGGCCGGGACCTGTTCTGTGCCCTCTGGCAGCCCCAGACCTGCTCCTGCTCTTACCTGCTCTCCCAGAGACAGGTCCAGGAACTTGGATTGCAGCTGATGGCAGAATGCAAAGACAAGTTCCTTCATCTGGGGAAGAAAAAGGAGAAGGGAATTACTCCACAAAAGGGAGCCAGTAGCAGAAACTCAAAGCAGTGTTTTGCAGTCACCAAAGGCGGTTCCCAGCAGCGGCCAAGGGATTGGCTCAGCACAAGTTCTGCCTGCATCTTGCAGCCTGGAGGGGAATCTTTGTGCTGCTGAGAATGAAGATCTCAGAGAAGCCCCCTGCCAGCAGCAGAGACACCTCCTCAAATGTTTTAAACTACCAGGATTAGGCAGCAGACAAGCAACTAAGAGAGGAATGTGCATGCCAAACTGTAACACTACTTTTATGTCCCAGCCAGGGAATGGGCAAGGGCAGGCGGGAAG